TGGGAGGGAGTGACTAAGAAGACCTTGAACTCTGCTTGGAAGAAACTGTGGCCAGAATGTGTAGACAAAAGGGATTTTGAAGGGTTTGAGGCTAACCCTGAGAGGATTATGCCAGTTGAGGAATCCATTGTGGCATTGGGAAAGTCCTTAGGGTTGGAGGTTAGTGGGGATGATGTGGAAGAGTTGTTGGAGGAGGACAATGAAGAACTAACGACTGATAAGCTGATAGATCAACTTCAACAGCAAGAGGCCAGACCTGAGGAAACTGGTTCAGAGGAGGGGAGAGAGAAATTGAAGAAGTTGCCTACTTCAAAGACTAAGGAAATCTGTGCAAAGTGGCTTGAAGTGCAAACCTTCATGGATGAAAATCACCCTCACACAGCTATTGCAAGCTGTGTTGGCAACCTGTACACTGACAATGTTGTGAAACACTTTAGGGAAGTCATAAAGGAACGAGAGGTACAGGCCTCTATGGACAGATATGTTGTGCGAAAGAAGTCCAGTGACTCTGAAGCTGGTCCTAGTGACATTAAAAGAAGGAGGGAAGTAACCCCAGAAAAGGACTCGACACCTCAAGTCTTAATGGAAGGGGATTCCCCTTCTAAACACTAACACTCTCTCTCCCCTCCTCCCATCCCATCAATCATCACCAGATCTTCAATAAAAGTAAGTGTCATGTAATTGTGCATGCCTTTTTCAGTTTGTGTGTATTAAAATTAACATTTCATGTGGTAAAATTTTTTTTTTTTTCATACTTTTGGGTGTCTTGCACGGATTAATTTGATTTCTATTATTTCTTATGGGGAAAATTAATTCGCATACCGAACATTTCGCATAACAACCAGCCCTCTTGCACGGATTAAGGTCGCTATGCGGGGGTCCACTGTATTGGACAGTTTAAGGGTTAATGCTGCTCTGTCCACTTAAAAAACAACTTCTGAAATGGTAGAGAATCTTTTTCTGAAGGTAATGACACCAGAAGTATGAAATTTGATGGAAAACTTGCAGAATTACACAGGCATAGATTTAGTGATCTCGGCACAATTTACACCTCGGTTATTTTATCCACTTTGAGTCCTATTTTAAGTCAATTTTGTTGTTCCATTCAACCAAATTCTTAGCTGTTTTGCTAGTGTGTCCTTCCAAAATTATGTATTTCAGTAGAATGTCTTCCATTCTGTCAAATGATGCCAAGAAATGGCCAAGAAAACCATAAAACCCATTCAAAGAAACACCTCAAATTCACTATTTTAACCCTTTCAGGGTTTGACGTACTAGTACGGCTTACGCACCAGGGTTTTTGACGTACTAGTACGCCTAAATTCTAGCGCCCTCAAATCTAGTGAGAGAAAGCTGGTAGGCCTACATAAGAAAGAATGGGTCTATGTGGTCAGTGTGCGCAGTATAAAAAAAATCCTGCAGCACACAGTGCGTAATGAGAAAAAAAACTTGAGTGTTTTTGGTTTAAAACAGCGACTTTGCACTGTATTTTTGTATGGTATTTATGATGGTATTCTAGTTTTCCTGATCTCATTTCATAGAATGGAAGACATATTACAGAAATTGAGACGATTTTGATTGGTTTTACAATGAAAAGTACCTTGAAATTGAGCTCAAAATAGCAGAAATGTTCGATTTTTACCAAAGTTCAAAAGTAAACAAATCATGCCAAGCGTCCAATACACGTCAACTGGTAAGTCTAATATTCTTTCACAAGTGCGCTGATATTATTTGTACCATTTCTATACTAATGCAGTAGTCTGCATAACAGTAAATCTTTTATAATTTTTTTTTTTTTTGAGAATAAAAATTCTAAGTGGAAAGCAAAAGAATGTAAGAGGGGCATGGAGACATGACTAATGAACAGAGGAAATGTTATTTTAGTGGAAGGAATGTCTTTCTTGTTTATTCTGGACCCTATTTGGAAATTGGCATCTTTTAAAATTTGTGTGAAATTGGCAAAATTGCTAAATTCTGACCACTTTATTGGATAGTTGAAGTCGGTAAATGGGCGGTTTCTTGTACTTGTCCGATAGGAAAAATGGAGTTCTAGCGAAAGAGTTATGATTTTTGTCGACTAGTACACTGTAATTGGCCGAAAATAGGGCTCAAAGTGGATAAAATCACCGATGCGTAAACATCGTCGAGACTGCTAACTTCGCGAGAGAATAATTCCACAACTTTTCCATCAAATTTCATACATTTGGTGTCAATATGATTGGAAAAAGATTCTCTATCTTTTCATGAGATTTTTTTTTTTTTTTTTTAAATTTGTCAACCCTGAGAACAAGTCTGTGAGAGAGCCTGTCGACCCTGAAAGGGTTAACCCTTTGATTGTTTTGGTCATATATATACGTCTTACTAGCCACCGTTTTTGACGTATATATACTCATAAATTCTAGCGGCTTCAAATCGAGCAGGAGAAAGCTGGTAATCCCACATGTGAGAGAATGGGTCTATGTGGTCAGTGTGCACAGTATAAAAAAAAATCCTGCAGCACTCAGTGCATAACGAGAAAAAAAAAAACTTTGACCGTGTTTTTGGAATAAAACCGAATTTGCATTGTATTTTCGTATGGTATTTATTGTTGTATTCTAGTTTTCTTGGTCTCGTTTTATAGAATGGAAGAAATATTACAGAAATTGAGATGATTTTGACTGGTTTTACAATGAAAAGTACCTTGAAATTGAGCTCAAAGTAGCAGAAATGTTCAATTTTTACCAAGTTCAAAAGTAAACAAATCATGCCAAGTGTCCAATACACATCAACTGCGATGATATTATTTATATCATTTCTACACTAATGCAGTAGTCTGCATAACGGTAAATCTTTCAATTTTTTGTAAGAATAAAAATTGAAAGTGGAAAGCCAAAGAAATACAAGAGGGGCGTGGGGATGTCACTAACGAACAGAGAACTTGTTATTTTAGTACCAGGAATGTCTTTCTTGTTTATTCTGGACCCTATTTGGAAATTGGCATCTTTTAAAATTTGTGTGAAATTGGCAACATTGCTAAATTCCGACCACTTTATTGGATAGTTGAAATCGGTAAATAGGTGGTTTCTTGTACTCATTCATATAAACAATGGAGTTCTAACGAAATAGTTACGATTTTTGTTGATTAGTACATTGGAATTGGCCAAAAATAGAGTTCAAATTGGGCAAAAATCGCCGATGCGTAAACATTGTTGAGACCGCCAACTTTGCGAGAGCATCATTCCTAAGTTTTCCATCAAATTTCGTACTTTTGGTGTCTTTATGATCAGGAAAAGATTCTCTATCTTTTCATAAGAATTTTTTTTTTTTTTTTTTTTTTTTTTTTTTTTTTTTTTTATTTTTTTTTTTTTTTTTTTTTTTTTAAATTTGGCCGACCCTGAGAACAAGTCTCGGAGAGGGCCTGTCAACCCTCAAAGGGTTAAAATGCCGACTTTGTGGTCTATTTTCGTATAGTATTTATGGTTGTATTCTCGTTTTCTTGGTCTCAATTGACAGAATGGAAAAATTATAGAAATAGAGGTGATTTTGATTGGTTTTACTATGAAAAGAACCTGGAAATGGAGGTCAAAGTAGGGGAATTTTTTTATTTTTGCCGATGTTCAAAAGTAAACAAATGATGTCATTGTCCAATAAATGTCCAACTAGTTATTCTAATATGCAGCCATGAATGAGTTGACATTATTTATAGACTTATTACAATATTGCAGTAGTCTGCATAACAGTAAATCATCTATTTTTTTGTTTGAATAAAAATTCAAAATAGAAAGCGAGAGTAAAATCAGAGGGGCCTGGAGACGTGACTGATGAACAAAGAAAATGTTGTTTTAGAGCCAGGAATGTCTGCATTGTTTATTCTGGACCCTATTTTGAAGTTTTCATATTTTTTAATTTTCGTGAAATTGGCCAAATTGCAAATTTCTGTCCATGTTATTGGGTAGTTGAAATCGGTAAATGGGCAGTTTCTTGTTCTCAGTCGATAGAAAAAAAAATGGAGTTCTAAAGAAATAGCTATGAGTTTGGGCAACTGGAACAATGGAATTAGCCGAAAATAGGGCTCAAAGTGGGCAAAATCTCCGATTCGTAAATATCGTCGAGGTCGCTAACTTCACAAGAGTGTAATTCCGTCAGTTTTCCATCAAATTTTGTTCTTTTGGTGTCATTACAATCAGGAAAAGATTCTCTATCATTTCATAAGAAAAAAAGATTTTTTTTTTTTTTTGGGAAATTTTGCGACTCCAGGAGACAGCTCAGGATTTGGGGTTGCAACAGCCGAGGGGCTAAACCATATACATGGTCAGTTTTGCTTTTCCAATCATGCACCACATGGGTGCATAGTCACTACACAGACCCATTCATATCTAGCCCAGATTTACCACGCACAAGTTGTTTGAGCTAAGCTCGTGACATAGAACTACGTGAGGGACCCTGGCCTCAGTGACATAGTTTTACATGATGGTTATTGAAAGGGTTAAAATATAGCCATGAGTTGTCCAACATCCTAATTTAGGTTTGTGTTAGGTTAGGTTAGCATTTACTTGGAATTTTGCTAAACTTGTATACAGGACCCTGCCAATGGTAAATATCACACTGACAAGCGAGTGGGCAACGTCAATGAGCATGGCATGTAATTCCAGGCTGTGATGGATATGTGGGCCTGTGGGCTGCTAACAGTAACAGCCTGGTTGATCAGGCAAGAATCAGACAAGCCTAGTCCAGGGCCAGGCTGTGAGATAGTAAAACTCAAAAGGTATATCAAAGGTTGTTTTGGGCATATGTTACTATGTACATTGCTTTCAACTTTGAGAAAACAATCATAAATGGTTGTAGTTTTATTTTTGTTTGTGAGGTGACATGATGTCTTTTACTCCTTTACTGTTGGCCAACAGTATAGTTTAAAGCACCTTTTAAATCTCACAGGTTTTTCTGTTATGCTATGTTTTAATAGCCACACAGTTTGATCTCAGTATTGCTTATACTGTACTGTAAATTTGATAATTTTACAGATCATGTGTTGCATTTGGAGAGAAAAATCGTGTCCTTGGTGTAGCTGCTAAGAATCAGATGACAACGAACATGAAAAATACTATTCATAGCTTCAAAAGACTGTTGGGACGACAGTTTAGGTAAGATATGCTGGTATAGCTATTGAAGTATGACATGTTTTTATGATATTAGAAAACTATAGTGGTTTCATTTATTCACAATGAAGGTTCCAACTCACCCCTCCCCCTTAATATATACCTTGTATTTTTAGGAAATATTTTTTATTGAGGTCCTTTTCTGAATCCCAAACATGAAATCATATTTTTTTTCCTTATAAGTACCTAGTTAAGGTTTTATTTATATATTTATTTATATTTATATATATTTATATATATTTATATATTTTTTCGCTCTATATATATAATATATAATTTTATATATATATATATATATATAATATATATATATATTTTTATTTCATTATATATATATTAGTTTATTATAATATATATATATATATATATATATATATATATATTATATTTATATATATATAATTTTTTTTTTTTTTTTTTTTTTTTTTTTTTTTTTTTTTTTTTTTTTTTCAACAAGGTCGCGGCCGTCTCCACAAGCAGGGTGACCCAAAAAAAAAAGAAAGAAAATCCCCAAAATGAAAAATACTTTCTTCATATTCAACACTTTCACTCTCTTCACCATTATCACTGTTTTTGCAGAGGTGCTCAGAATACTTCAGTATAGAAGCATACACATATAAAAAGATACACATACATATCCCTCCAAGCCTATATTTCAAAACCCCCCTCTCTGTTAAAGTGCAGGCCTTGTACTTCCATTTCCAGGACTCAAGTCCGACTATATGGAGAAATAACCGGTTTCCCTGAATACCTTCACTAAATATTACCCTGCTCACACTACAACAGATCGTTCAGGTCCCAAGTACCATTCGTCTCCATTCATCTATCTAACACGCTCACGCACGCTTGCTGGAAAGTCCAAGCCCTCACCCACAAAACCTCTTTACCCCCTCTTTCCAACCTTGCGATGGAACGACCCCTCTACCCTCTTTTCCTTCCCCTCTAGATTCGTATAGCTTTCCATGTCATTTCTACTTTGAATCCATTCTTCTAAATGATCAAACCACCTCAACAAACCCTCTTTCTGCCCTCTGACTAATGCTTGTATTAACTCCACACCTTCTCTAATTTCCACCCAAACTCCGAATTTTCTGCTTAATATTTACTCCCACACATTGCCCGTATTTTTTTTTTTTTTTTCTTTTTTTTTTTTTTTTTTTGGACAGGACCATCTCACTGCCTCCAACCGTTCTCCTCGCTGCTGCATTTACCACCCAAGCTTCACACCATATTAAGAGTGTATTGGTACTACTATACTTTCATACATTCCCTTCTATGCCTCCATAGATAACGTTTTGACTCCACATATCCACTCAACGCACCACTCGCCTTTTTTCCCTCTGCACTAATTCTATGATTAACATCTTCCTCATAAATCCATCCGCCGGACACGTCAACTCCCCCAAGTATCTGGAAAACATTCTCTTCTTCCATACTCCTCCTCCCCTCATTTGATATCCAATTTTTCGTTATCTAATCATTTGACACCCTCATCCATTACTCTTTTCTATGTTCACATTTCAACTTTCTACCTTTACACACATTCCCAAACTCATCACTAACCTTTGCAATTTTTTCTTTAGAATCTCCCATAAGCACAGTAGCATCCAGCAAAATAACGTAACGGTAGTCAATTCCCATTTTGGATTTGATTCCCATAATTTAATCCCACCCTTCCCGAAACACCCTTAGCATTTACTTCTTTTACAACCCATCTATATAATATATTAAACATACCATGGTGACATTACCACATCTCTGTCTAAGACCTACTTTTCGGGAAGTATTCTCCCTCTCTTCTACCACACCTTACCTGAGCCTCACTATCTATAATAGCTCTTACAGATTTAGTAACTTACCACCTATTCCATAAACTTGAACATATGCCTCATTGCTCCTCTAATCCCACTCTATCATATGCCTTTTTTTTAAAATCCATAAATGCAATAAAAGATTCCCTACCTTTAATCTAAATACTGTTCACATATATGCTTCCAATGTAAACACTTGATTCTTCACATCCCCTACCCCTCGGTAAAGCCTCCTGCCTCATCTGAAATTCTACATTCTGTCTTACCTCTAATTCTTTCAAGTAATAAAATCTCTACCCATATACTTTTCCTGGTATACTCGGTAAAACCTTATTCTCTTTTATTTTTACAATCTCCTTTTGTCCCCTTTCCCTTTATATAAAGGGACTATACATGCTCTCCGCCAATCCTAGCTAGGTACCTTCCCCTCTTTCATAACTTTATTAAACAAAAGTACCAAACCACTCCAACAGACTATATCCCCCCCTGCTTTTTAACATTTCTGTCATGACCCATGCAGTTCCAGCTGCTTTACCACTTTCATTCTACGTAATGCCTCACGTACCTCACCACACTTACATTCTGCTCTTCTTCACTCCTAATAGTTGGTATTACTTCTAGGCCGGTGCATGAAATTACCGCCTCCCTTTTCTTCCTCAACATTTTAAAAGTTCCTCAAAATATACTCGCCATCTACCTAATACCTCCCTCTCCCCATTCTATAAACCCCCTACTTTGTTTTTAAACTGACAAATCCCATATACTTCCTGCTTTCTTAACTTGTTTAACTCACTCCAAAATTTTTTCTTATTTTCATTAAAATTTTTGCAGTGCCTCTCCCACTCTTTCATCTGCTTTCCTTTTGCCACTCTCTCACCAGTCTCTTCACCTTCTTTTACTATCCATATACTCGCTCTTTTATAACACTTCTGCTTTGTAAAAAACCTCTCGTAAGCTACCTTTTTCTCTTTTAAATCACACCCTTTACTTATCATTCCACCATATCACTCCTCTTTCCTCCTGCCCACCCGCCTATAACCACAAACTTCTGCCCCACATTCTAATACTGCATTTTTAAACTATTCCAAACCCCCTCTTCATACCCCCACGACTCATCTTTGCACTAGCCACTTTCTGCCAATAGTCGCTTATATCTCGGCCAACTTCCTCCTCCCTTAGTTTATACACTTTCACCTCCTCTTTCTTGTTGTTGCCACCTCCTCTTTTCCCATCTTCGTCTTACTTAACTGTTGTACAACTAAATAATCTGAAACTATCAGTTGCCCCTCTTAAAACATGTACATCCTGAGCCTACCCATCAACCTTGTATCCACAATACATAATCTAATAAAACTACTTTCATTACGTGCTACTTCATACCTTTGTATATTTATTTATCCTCTTTTTCTTATAATATGTATATTATTATAACAAATTCTTGCTACACATAGCCTCATTAAAAGGCTCCCCATTTAATTTTACCCCTGGCACCAAATTGCTTCTACTCCCTCCATAACAGTTTTACACCACTTTAGCATGAAATCCCCAACCACCATTACTCTCACACTTGATTCAAAATTCCCCATGCATTCACTCAACATTTCCCAGAATCTCTCTCTCTCCTCTACACTTCTCTCTTCTCCAGGTGCATACACGCTTATGTTCTTATGTATCAGAATTGTGGTGCAGTAACTTTAAATCTTTTTCAGGGACCCTAAAGTGCAAGCTGAAATATCATCATTTCCCTTTCGAGTTGTTGAGCTTCCAGACAGAGGTGTTGGTATCGTGGTGCAGTATCTTAATGAAGAGCAAATATTCACACCTATCCAAATAACAGCAATGCTTTTCAGCAAACTGAAACTCACAGCTGAGCAAGCGCTTGGTATTAAGGTCAACGATGTTGTTATAGGGGTAAGTTCACAACTTGAATGTTTAGACATGTGCAACCAATGCAGATTTATTATCTGAAGGTGGGATGTCTTATGGTAATATCTCATGAGGAATGTTGAAGAAAGTATCTGGGAAAATACAACACTTGAAACTTTCAACCACTTGTGCAAACTTCTGAAAATCAAGTTGGGGGGGGGGGGGTATTTAATCAGGCTTTTTGTAATGGTGAGACTATTCTTCGCATATACTTCAAAATCCACCCCGACCCCACCTTCGCCTCTCTGCCAATGTTGCAGTTGTTCAGTGCTAGTCTAAACTTCCGATAGATCCACCCACCCACCCAATCCCCCGATCGTTCCCTCGGCGTTCCTGCTCCTCTTGCGCTGAAATATCTTTAAATGTTAACATCTTGAGGTATGTTCTTTCCTTGGACTTATAGGCAGCCCCACAATAAAAATTCTTGTAGTGAGAAGGTTTTTTTTTTTTTTTTTTTTTTAATAATGGTGTTGTCCTTGTTCTGAATTGAAATAAGGAATAAAAACTTTGGAGTCTGTAAAACTTAACAATTTTGTCCGGTGTGTTGAAGTGGACTCGAAAAAAAAAAAATGGAAAAAAACTTATCGGCAACAGTTGTATAAATGCCACAAACCAGCGGATATTTATGCACTGGATGATATATTTTCTGTTTTTTTAATTGCTTTTTTAATGTTTAAACATGTTGTAAGGAGATTCTTATGATATTAGATGTGGTTATTGATGTTTTAGCACTTCTAACATGGGGAAATTTAAGCCTCAACATTGTTCCATTTTTATATTACTATTTGGTCTTCTTACACCTGGTGTACAAGGAAAATACTTGTTACTTACAAATGGTTTCATGAGTGCAGATTCTTCCTCAAAACATGGAATTAAGTCGTTGACTTTGACGGGTTTCTTGGATTATAATGTGCTTTGTGGATGGAATTCCACTCAGTGTGTGTTGTGTCTGGAGATTGTTTCTTTACCTTTATAATCCATGGGGCTATTTGCAGCCCTCTCTGATACAATTTGAAATGACAGAAAGGTCAGATTTTGGAGGTGAGAATGAGTCATTATAGTGCCACCAAAACCTTGAGGTTGAACTATTCCAGTAGTCATGGTTTAGGGGAATTATTTTTTGTATTTGCTTTCATTTTGGTTCCACTGGTCAATACAATTTTGATATAGTTATGTTTCTTATGAGATTAGTTAATTCCTGTGTATCTTCATGTTCTGAATCCTAATATCACCTTGAAAAATGCTTGTTGGCTATAGATTTAAAGATACGAGATATGTAATACAGTGGACCCCCGGTTTACGATATTATTTCATTCCAGAAGTATGTTCGGGTGCCATTACTGGACGAATTTGTTCCCATAAGGAATATTGTGAATTAGATTAGTCCATTTCAGACTCCCAAACATACACGTACAAACGCACTTACATAAATACACTTACATAATTGGTCGCATTGGGAGCTGATCGTAAAGAGGGGGTCCACTGTATTTGATTATTTTTTTATAACATACAATATGTGTCAGTATGTTTTAAACTACTGTATCTACTTTCTGCCTTTTTGCTTGACGCTTATAGTGGGCTGAAGAATCCTCTTTTGCCAGTGTCCAGCAATAGTCTGCAAGCATTCTTGTGCCCCCATTTGCCCTGGTACCATTTTTCCATAGTTCAAATATCTTAAGTGAAACCTTTCACTATGTTCATCACTAACTGCTTCACAGTTCACTGGAAAAAAGTCTAAATGCGAGTCCAAAAGGTGGATTTTAAGTGTCATGTTACATCCCATGTTCTTGCAAGCCTTGATGAGGTTTTCTACCAATTCTTCATAGTTTCCTTCTGTTTCCGAGAAATCTGTTCACCACTAACCTGAATGCTTCCCAAGCAGCTTTTTGTCTCCTCCATGAATGGTCTTGAGATCAGAGTCACCATCTTTAGGAAGCTCTCAAATCTGAGGACCATTGAAGACTCCCTCTCTTATCTTAGCTTTGCTCAGCGAGGGGAATTTTGATGTTAAATACTTGACTCCTTTACTGGATTTGTCCATAGCTTTTACAAAGTTTTTCATGAGCCCCAGTTTTGTGTAGTGGTGGTAGCAAAATTTTGTTTGGCTCAGTAAGAGGTGGATGTTCAACATTTTTCATCCTAGGCTCCAATGATTGACAAGGTGGCCAGTCTCTTCTGATCTAGTGAGAACTTCTTGCATTGCTGTCCCATTCACATAGCCAAACCAAGTACTGCTGCTGTCTAAGAAAATCGCCTTCCTTTCGCCTCAAAATATAAACTCGCACAGCACAATCACCTTTTATGACTTCTGGAACAATAATGGAGGACAGTGACTGTGAGTGTGACACACTGCTGCAAGCCTGTTGGAAACTTTTGTGACACGTAGGTGTATATTGAAAAGTAGAGCTAACAAACAATTTTAACCATGATATTCATTGTCAGTGACCTAAAATTAGTTGGAAATTGCTACTCTGGTCTCGGAAGCATTTTGGTTGTTGACCAGTGTGATGTTTTAAACTGGTTTTGAGATTTTTTTTTTTTTAATGTTGGACATGCCAGTTCATGAAATAATGTGAGAAATGGCTTAGGTATTTATACTTGCTGTAATGTGCAGCCTTGCAATTATGTATACCTTGATGTTGGTGAAGGGTTCTTTTTCGAAGGAACTGGACATTTCCTTCCTTTCCTAAGATGAAGCTCTGTTACTGCAACCCCTCCCATTTATCAGACTGTGTTTGGTCCTTAATTAAATGTTTAGATCTTGGACTTTAATGCAATTCATCATATCTCTTATACAAAAAGGACTGAAATCTGAATTCTTCTCAAAGCAGGTTTGAAATATTATTTAAAACTGAACAAAGCAAATACAAAAGTAATTCCCCTAAATTTCATAAGCAGACTTGTTTATATATATAATAAGTCAGTACTCGCTGTAAATTCTTTAGTTCATAATCTGCTGCAGACTTGGAAGAATAAAGATTTCTTTATAAAATATGAAATTGACACCAGTTAAAATTTCTATTGCCATGATTTCATTTTTGTCAGTACTCTCCTCCAGGGAGGTTCCTTTATGCCAATAAGGGGCTCTTGCTCCAAGAAATTAGACCTGCTCTCCCTTTTCAATTGAGCCTGAATGCCTCCCATTCCCCTAGGTGCTATATGACCCCTATGGGTTTAGCACTCCCCATGGAAGTAAATATAATTTATTAGCACACAGCATCTCTGGTTTAGGTTTCTAAGCCATCCTTGTTTAATATTGTGACTGTTCCCAAAATGGCCACTTGAAAAAGGGGCAAGAGGTCACTTGTCCCAGATGAAGAATTTTACATTTGAAAAAGTATGCTGTGCATTCATATTACACAGTAATTACTGTAGATATTAGTCTTGAGGACAGCAACCATCCAAGGAGGTACAAAGTGTTCTGCCATGTAAATATTAAATTGAAAGCCTGTTAAATGCTGCACACTGGCTTTATTGCTGGTCTTTTTCTCATGAACTCAAGGTAGTAGGGAAATACTACAAATCTTGATGAAAAAAATGGCATGTGGTAAAAATTCTACTTACATTTATAGTATGAAAGCCCTTCCCTTTGTTTTTTGGGTTTTCTTATTTCATTTTAGGACCGGGCCCTTTTCTCAGGGACCATTAGCAAAATTAGTATTTACGTACGTATAAAACCTATTTTTGAAATCCCATTACTTAGTGTCTATATAGTTTTTTTGGGAGTATAAAAAGGCTTTGGATTAAAAAATTCCCGGGATTTGGGGAGGCAACATATAAAATGTAATTCACTGGGGGTATAAAAATTTACAATAAGTGAAAAAACAGCAGGGGTTTCCCTGTGGCGGGATGTTGTTGAGGTTATTTTTGGGAACATTTATTTTTGCGGGTTTCCCTTTGTTATTTTACTGATGCTGACCCGTCGTGAAATTTTGGAAAGTGCATTTAATGCCGGGCTAAAGTTTTAAAGTCTTTTCAATAAAAACCAAACACCCACTGCCCAGAAATATGGTTTTTAAAAACCCAAAAACCTTTCCCAGGCCCAGGGGAAAAAAACCCCAAGGAATTTTGTCTTTGTTGATTGTGGAAATTCAAATTACAGGTAAGTGTTGTAGATTTTGTATGTACAAAAAATTGTGGGGCTTGTGTTCTTTTGGGTTCCTTTTTTTAGGGGTTGTATGACTGGTGAATTTTTTAAAAAAGGAAAAATCATGAAAAAGTTAAGTTCTGTTGGGGGTGTGAGCAAGGTTAACATTTTGTAAAAGAAAATTCGGGAAAAACAGTTGGCCGGGACTTGAGCCCTTGAGGTGGGAAAATATATTTCCCTGCTTTCTAAAGGAGGGTATGGATTTCTGAATTTGTAGTGTCTAAAACCCTTTCTGGCAAGCCCAATGATGGGGAAAGTGCTTTTTTTTTTGGGTCACTTTACCTTAGTGGGAGATGGCCAGTGTGTTAAAAATAAAATAAATTGTTAAAATCCATTTTTTTATTATTTTATTTTTAAAAAAGTTATTTAAAGTCTTTTTCGCGGCAAATTTAAAACCAAAATTTTGATCCCCTTAAAATTGCATTTTTAAAATAAACCTTTGTACTTTCCCAATTTAAGGTATACATTTAAATTTACAGTACCTGAAAAGTCCCTGTTTTTTTAAATAAAACAAAAAAAGGTACAGTATGTATTAACAGTAGTACTGTATAGTATTTTTTATAGTACAGCTGACTGTTGGTTAAAAGGTATTTGGGTTACTAAAAATGAGTAAATTGTGTAAAATGAACAAAAACCCATGGGGGGAAAATAGGATTACTTTCTTTGGAGATGTATATAGTGGCACCTTTTTTTTTTGTTTTTCCCCCAAGTTTTTTTAGGATTCAGTTTTCGATGAATCTTTTTTTTCAAAAAATTTTGTCCCAGTTTTTTGTATTCTGCTGGGTTTTTCGTAGATTTTAAAAAAGGTCCTACCCAAACGTTTTTTTGCATGACTCTTCCACTAAAGTCCCCAAAAAGGGCCACCCCATGGTTCGTTTTAAAGCCCTGCCTTTTTTTTTTTGGTTTGATTTGAGCATCCCCTTTGCCCCGTTCTTTAATTTTTTTGGGTTTTTGTTTATTGAGGCGACGCTAAAAAGCCCCCCATGGGGCCAAAGAAAAGTTTTGAGTAAAGCCCTTTGAAAAAGAAGGCGAAAATGACCCTACGTCTTTTGTGAAAATTCTTTTGTCTTTGGGGAAGTCCATGGGGTTGGAGGGAGGGGCCCAAAGGAGGGGGAAAGGGGTTGGTGGATAACCACGGGAAGAACAAACCCACTGAAGAGCTGAAAAACCCTTCCCGGGAACACCCAAAAAAGCAGCTGGGGAAATTGCTTCAGGGGAAAGGAGGAAGGGGAGAGGGGAGAATGTTGCTTCTTAAAAGTGTTTAAAGGGAAACGTGTGAAAAGTGGACCCATTTGGGAAAATTTTTTCTGGAGTTTTTAAACACCCCCAAACAAAGCTTTTCCCAAACCATTTCTGAAACTTTTTTTAAATTTGACAAGGGCCTTGTCCCTTTTTAGGCAAATCTTAGAGAGGGCTAGAAACAGCCCTTTTGGGAAACTGATTTTTTTTTTTTCAAAACCCGGGGGGGGGTATAGTGACCCCAAGCTGGCCTAGGGGCAGTAAGACAAAAAGGGGAAATGTAACCCCCCCGGATGGGGGCCTTGATATTGAAGTCCTTAGGGAAGGGGATTTTTCCTTCCAAACAAAAACCCTATTCTCCCCCCCACTCCTCCTCCTGGGCCGTCTTCCAAAAGGAAAAAAAAAAAGGTCTTAAAAAAAGGTAAAAGTGATGGAAAAATGTTTTTTTAACCCTTTTTCATTAGTCTTTATATTTTTTTTCTCATTTTTTTTCTGTATGTAAAATATAGTTATTCCCTTAGAAAGTATTTTTTTAATATTTTTGGGTTTTGGGGAAGGGGTTTTAATTTGGGGATTTGCATTTTTTCTTATGGGAAACATTGCTTCAGTTTTTGTCGGGGACTTCTTGAAGGATTAACATAAAACACTGAGGTTCCACTGTAGGTTATTTGTATGTAAAGGTGCCCCAAAAAAAGGAAAAAAAAACCCCCCAAAAAGAAAAAAAAAAAAAAAACTTTAATTTATTAAAACCACTTTCCCTTTCCATCAAAATAAACTTTCTTCCCGGAGGTGCTCAGATAAAACAGTTTAGAAGCCCCCTCCAAACTCCCAAAACACCCCCAAACCCCTCCTTTTAAGTGCGGGGCATTGAAATTTCCCCAAATTTTTTCCCCGGGAATCGATTTTTTGGCTAACTGGTTTAACCTAAACCCTTTTCAAAAAAATATTACCCCTTCTCCACCCCAAAACGCTGTCAGGCCCCAAAAATCATTCTTTTCCCTTTCACTCCTATCTAAAAATCCCTTCACCCATGTCTGCTGTATGTTGAACCCCCTTGCACCCACCCTCCTTTACCCCCCCCCTCCACCTTTTCCCTAGAAAAAAACCCCTACCCCCCCTCTCCTCCCCCAACAGATTTTTATTTCCCCCCAAGTCTCCTTTTTGCCCCTTCCCCCTAAAACAACCCCCTTTTTAAAGCCTCTAAATTAATATTTTTTAGAAAACTTCCACAACTAATTTCCCCATGTAAAAAATTCTTCCCATAATTTTTCCCACCACACATTGCCCTTAGATAGGGTTTTTTCCAATGTTTTTCCACCCTCCTCACTGCAGCATTTACATTGCTTTGCTTCACACCCATATAAGAGTGTTGGTATTTAACAAAAACTTTTGGTATTTTCCCTTCTTTGCCCCCATGTTTTTAATTTTCTTTGTCTCCCTGATACTTAAAGGGCCCCACCCACCTTTTTTCCCTTTTCATAAATTTCTAGGGTTTTAAGCTTTTCCTTCAAAAACCCATCCACTCCAAAATATGTAACATGTTTTTTTTCCCAACCTTTCCCCTCCATTGTGATATCCATTTTTTTTTTTACCTAACCCCGTTTGATACCCCTAATCCCCTTTTCTCTTTTCTGTGTTTTTAAATTTTTCCTTTTTTTTTTTTATTTTTTTTTTTTTTTTTTTAAAAAATTGGGGCCCTCTCCCACCCCCAAAAAAAAACCCCCCCGAAAAAAATTTTTTTTTTTTTTCCCCCACCATTAAAATATTTTTGGGAGGGGGGGGGGGGGGGGGGGGAAAAAAATTTTTTTTTTTAAATTTTTAAAAAAAAACCCCCCCAAAAAAATTTAAAAAAATTTCCCCCAAACCCCCCCAAAAAAAAAAATTTTTTCCCCCTTTTTTCCCTTTTCCCCAAAATCCAAAAAAAATTTTTTTAAAAACCCTTTTTTTTTTCCCCCCCCCCCCTTTTTTCCCCCCCTTTTTTAAAAAAAAACCCCCCCCCAAATTTTTTTTTCCCCCCCTTTTAAAATTTTCCCCCCCAACCCCCCCCCCCCCCTTTTTAACCCCCCTAAACCCCCCCCCCCCCCCTTTCCCCTTTCCCCCTTTTTTAACCCCTCCTTTTTTCCCCCCCCCCAAAACCCCCCCCAAAAAAGAAAATTTTTTTTTCCAAACCCCCCCCCCCTTTTTTTTAAAAAAAAAACCCCCCCTTTTTTTTTAAAAGGGCCCCCTTTTTTTCCCCCCCCCCCCCCATTTAAAAAATTTTTTTCCCCCCGGGGGAAATAACTTTTTTTTTCCCTTCCCCCCTTTTTTAAAAAAAAAATTTTTAAAAAACCCCCCCCCCCCTTTTTTTCCCCCAAACCCCCCCCCTCCCCCTTTTTTTTTTTTTAAAAACCCTTTTTTTTTCAATTTTTTTTTAAAATTTTTTTTTTTTTTAAAAATTTTTTCCCCCCCCAAAAAAATTTTTTTTTCCAAATTTTTTTTTTTTTAAAAAAAACCCCCCCCCCCAAACCCCCCCTTTTTTTTTCCCCCAAAAAAAAAAAAAAAAAAATTTAAAAATTTTAAAAAAATTTTTTTTGGGGGCCCCCCCCAAAAAAAAAAACCCCCCCAAATTTTTTTTTTTGGCAATTTTTTTTTTCCCCCCCTTTCCCCCTTTTCCCCCCCAAAAACCCTTCCGTTTTAAAAAAAAATAAATTTTAAAAAAATTTTTTTTTTTTTTTAAAAAAAAAAAAATTTTTAAAAAAAAATTTTAAAAGGGCCCCCTTTTTCCCTTTTTAAAAATTTAAAAAACCCTTTTTTTTAAAATTTAAAAAATTTTTTTTTTCCTTTTCCCGAATTTTAAAGGGGCCCCCTTTTTTTTAAATTTTTAAATTTTTTTCCCCAAAAAAAAAAACCTTTTAAAATTTTTTTTTTTTTAAAATTTTTTTTTTTCCTTTTTTAAAAAAATTGGGGGTTTTTTTTCCCCTTCCCTTTTTTTTTTTAAAAAAAATTTTTTTTTTTTTTTAAAAAAAATTTCAAAAAAATTTAAATTTAAATTTTGGAAAAAAAAATTTTTTTTTTTTTTTAAAAAAAAAAAAATTTTAAAAAAAAAAAAAGGGGAGGGGTTTTTTTAAAAAAAAAAAAAAATTTTTTTTTTTTTTTAAAAAAAAATTTTTTTTAATTTTTTTAAAAAAAAAAACGAAAAAAAAATTTTTTTTTTTTTAAAAAGGGGGGGGGTTTTTTTTTTTTTTCCAAAAAACCCCAAAAAAAAAAGGGGAAAAAAAAGGGAAAATTTTTTTTTTTTGGGGGGAAAATTTTTTTTAAAAAAAACCCAAATTTAAAAAAGGGGGGGGGGGGGGGGTTTTTTTTTTTTTGAAAATTTTCCCCCCCCCCTTTTTTTTTTAAAAAAAATTTTTAAAAAAAAAAATTTTTAAAAAAAAAAAAAAAGGGTTTTTTAACCTTTTAAAAATTTTTTTTTTAAAAAGGGGGGAAAAAAAATTTTTAAGGGGAAAAAAAAAATTTTTTTTTTTTGGGGGGGTTTTTTTTTTTTTTGGGGAAAAAAAAAAAAGGCCAAAAAAAAAGGGGGGAAAAAAAAGGGGGGGGGTTTTTTAAAAACCCTTTTCAAAATTTTTTTGGGGTTTTTTTTTTTTTTGGGGGGGGGAAAAAAAAAAAATTTTGGGGGTTTGGGGTTTTTTTTAAAAAAAGGGGGGGGTTTTTTTTTTTAAAAAAAATTTAAAAAAAGGGGCTTTGGGGGGGGAAAAAAAAAAAGGGATTTGGGGTTTGGGGTAAAAAAAGGGGGGGGGTTTGGGAAAAAAAAAGGGGGGGTAAAGGGGGGGGGGGGAAAAAATTTGGGGTTAAAAAAATTTTAAAATTTTTTAAAAAAAAAGGGGAAAAATTTTTTTTTAAATTTAAAACGGAAAGGGGGTTTTTAAAAGGAAAAAATTTTGGGGAATTAAAAAATTTTTGGGGGGGGTTTTTTTTTGGAAAAAAAGGGGGAAAAAAAAAAAGGGGGGGGAAAAAAAGGGGGGGGGGAAAAAAAATGGGGGGGGAAAAAGGGGGGGGAAAAATTTAAAAAAAAAGGGGAAAAAAAGGGGGGGGGGGAAAAAAAAGGGGGGGGGGGGTTTGGGAAAAAATTTTTTTTTTTTTAGGGAAAAAATTTTAAAATTTTAAAAATTTTTTTAAAAAAAAAAAAAAAAGAAAAAATTAAAAATTTGTTTTATTTGGGAAAGGGGGAAAAAAAAGGGGGGGGGGGAAAAAATTAAAAACCCCCCCAAAAAAAAATTTTTTTTAAATTTTTAAAATTTTTGGGGGGGAAAAAAAACCCCCCCTTTTTTTTGGGGGGCCCCCCCCAATTTTTTTTCCCCAAAAAAATTTTGGGGAAAAAAAGGGGTTTTTTTTAAAAAAAAAAAAAAATTTTTTTTTTTTTTTTAAATTTTTAAAAAATTGGGTTTTTTTAAAAAAAGGGGGGGAAAAAAAAAATTTTTTTTTTTTAAAAAATTTTTTTTTTTTAAGGGTTTAAAAATTTTTTTTTTTTTTCCCCCAAAAAAGGGGGAAAACCCCTTTTTTTAAAAAAAAAAAATTTTTTTAAAAAAAAAAAAAAATTTTTTTTTTTTAAAAAAAAAAAAAATTTTTAAAAAAAAATTTTTTTTTTCCCCCCCCCCCCCCCTTTTTGGGGGGGGAAAAAAAAGGGGGTTTTTCCCCCCCCCCGGGGGGTTTTTTTTTTTTTTTTTGGTTTTTGGGGGGGGGGGGGCCCCCAAATTTAAAAAAATTTTTTTTCCCCAAAAAAAAAAGGGGGGGGTTTTTTTTAAATTTTTTTTAAAAATTTTAAAAGGGGTTTTTTTAATTTTTTTAAAAAATTTTTTTTAAAAAAGGGGGGAAAAAAAATTTTTTTTAAAAAAAAAAAATTTTTTGGGGGTTTTTTTTAATTTTTAAAAAATTAAAAAAACCCCTTTAAACCCCCTCCCCAAATTTTTTAAAAAAATTTTTTTCTTTTTTTTTTAAAAAAAAAACCCCCAAAAACCCCCCAAAAAAACCCTTTTTTTTTAAAAAAACTTTTCAATTTCCCTTCATGAAAAAAATTTTTTTTTTTTTTGGGGGAAAAAAAAAAATTTTTTTTAAACCCCCCCCTTAAAACCCCCCCCCAAAAAAAAAAAACCCCCTTTTTTTGGGTTTTTAAAATTTTTTTAAAAAAAATTTTTTTTTTTTTAAAAAAAGGGGGGGGCCCCCCCCCCCTTTTTTTTCCCCCCCCCTTTTTTTTTTTTTCCCCCCCCCCCCCCTTTTTTTTTTAAAAATTTTTTAAAAAAATTTTTTTTTTTTAAAAAAAAAAAATTTTTCCCCTTTTTAAAAAACCCCCCCAAAAAAAATTTTCCCCTTTTTTAAAAGGGTTTTTAAAAATTTCCCCCCCCTTTTTTTTTTTTCTTCCCCCCCCCCTTTTTGGGGGGTTTTTTTTTTTTTTTTTTAACTAATGTAGCTAAATAGAAAAATGATCCGATTGTAGTTGCCCCTCTATAAACATGAAATTTTCTGGAGCCTACCCATCCCCTTTTTTCCACCATACTAATATAAAACTACTTTCATTAGTGCTATACTACCTTGTTTATTTACTTATCGTCTTTTTCATAAATTGTATTTTTACTGGTGTGGGTTTGGAAAAACAGAAAACCACCCAGGGAGGTCTCCCGTCTGCCAAGTGAGTGTACAACGAAAGCCGTAATTGTTTTACATGATGGTAGGATTGGGGTTTTTTGCTGTCTCATAAACATGCAAGATTCCCGGGTATGTCTTGCTACTTCTACTTGCATTTAGGTACACTACACATACATGTACAAGATTATATAACACACACCCCCTCTGGGTTTTTCTATTTTTTTTCTTGTGCTTCTTCTTTTAATTCTCTTACTCCAGGGGAATGATCGAATTCTTCTTGCCCGTGTTGTAAACATTAACATTCGGGAGCCTAGGCTATAACCCCTTTTCACCAATTTTTACTAATATTAAAAAAAACTTTATTGTCTATATCATACCCTGCTTTCGTGGATTACGTCTTTTTGAAAAAGAAATGTATTATTACCAAACCTTTTCTACACATAGCTCAATTAAAGGCTCCCCATTTTCATTTACCCCTGGCACCCCAAATAAGCCGTAGAGCTGATATTAGCGTCATATTGAAGTACCATTTTATCATGCCTCCTGACAGCTGGAATTCCCCAGGAATGAATTAATGGCATTTCAGTTAATTTTAATGAGGAAAATTAACCCAGCATACGAATAAATCAGGATAGGAACAAGGCCACGGAATGGATTAAGTTCTTAAGCAGAGGTTCCACTGTACATGCATTATGGCTAAATTCCCTTGTAAACTAGACCCAATTTGAAAAACCTACTTCCATCTTTGAATTCAGCAACCCCTATATACCTTCAAATATCTTTGGCAACCATTTTTTTACCCCCAGTGAATTATGGGTTTAACATTCTCCATGTGTCTAATGCCTCCCTCCCTCACTGAAAAAAATTGCCTCCCCTCCCCCCCCCCCTTTTTTTTTTGTCCTTAACCCTTTGAGTGTCATGACCCCTGCTCACAAACTTGCTTTCAGGGTCGAAGAATTTTCAGTAAAAATTTTCTTATGGAATGATAATCTTTTTCTGAAGGTAATGAAACCAAAAGTACGAAATTTGATAGCAAACTTACGGAATTACGATCTCGCAAAATTAACGGTCTCGGCGATATTTACACATTGGCGATTCGCCCACTTTGCGCCCTATTTTTGGCCAATTCCATTGTTCTGGCCGACCTGACTCATGCCTATTTTGGTAGTACCCCTTTTATTCTATCGACTGTGAGTACAAGAATCCGCCCATTTACTTATTTCAGCTACCCAGTAGTGATCAGAAATTACTAATTTGGCCAATTTCACAAAAGATTCAAGGAAGGCCAATTTCAAAATAGGGTCCAGAATAAATTGCAGATATTCCTGGAACTAAAATAATATTTTCTCTGTTCATTAGTCACATCTCCAGGCCCTTCTCACATTACACCTGCTTTTCATTTTGAATTTTTATTCACAAAAAAATAGAAAATTTACTGTTATTGTTATAATTGTATAAATAATATCAGTGCATTCATGAACACACATTAGACCCACCAGTTGATGTGTATTGGACACGGGGTGTAACTTGTTTACTCCTGAACATCGGCAAAAATTGAACATTTCCGCTATTTTGAGCTCAATTTTAAGCTACTTTGTCTGTAAACCAATCAAAATTATCTGTTTTTGTAATATATCTTCCATTCTATCAAATGAAACCAAGTAAACGAGAAAACAACCATAACCATACTAAAACATGCTACAAAGTCTCTCTTTAAACCAAAAACAGCCGCAGTTTTTTTCAGTATGCAGTGCGTAATACAGGATTTTTTTTTTATACTGGTCACACTGGCCACACAGACCCATTCTCTCGCATGTAGGCCTACCAGGTTTCTCCCGCCAGATTTGATGCCGTTAGAATTTTGGCATATTACGGGACCGACACTGCTTCAGAGCCGCAATATTATGGGACCAACACCAAAGGGGTTAAAATCATGAATAATTTACAGACCTAGTTTATATAATTATGACCTAGTGGCTCAGGAGACCAGGGATATGTCCCTTTATCATTCATATAAATAATGCTTAATTTATTTTTAAATTCTAGGTGTCTGCTGTAGCCTTTAATAAAGGGAAACTTAAGATGTTGGCCACAGCTGCAGATGCCAATCTTGGAGGCCGTGACTTTGATCGTCTCATGGCTCATCATTTTGCCATGGAATTTAAATCAAAATACAAGGTAAGTTGATTCAGTACAGTACAGTTATTTATACAAGTGATGGTGCGAAGTTTCTGTAGTGAAATGTTAGAATTTTTTTGTAGGCTCAGAATTTAACTAGTATTTTAATATTGCTACTTAAACAGATTGATGCAACTGGAAATCCTCGTGCCTGGCTTCGACTCTGTACTGAGGTAGAGAAGCTCAAGAAACAAATGTCGGCCAATTCTACAGATCTTCCTATTAATATTGAGTGCTTTATGGATGATAAAGATGTATCTGCCAAATTAAACAGGTAAAGAATGCATTAGCTAATGATTTGGTTAACCCTTAACCCCTTCAGGGTTCCCAGGTCCTCTCTGAGACATGTTCTCAGGGTCCCCAAATTTAAAAAAAAAAAAAAAAAAAATTTTATGGAAAGATAGAAAATCTTTTCCCGATCATAATAACACCATAAGTATGAAATTTGATGGTAAACTTACAGAATTATGCTCTCGTGAAGTTAGTGGTCTTGACGGTGCTACGCTCGGCGTTTTCCCATTTTGGGCCCCTATTTCGGCCAATTCCCCATGTACAGTTGACAAAAATCATAATATTTGCTAGAACCCCCATTTTTTCTATAAAATGAGGACAAAAAAACCCCCATTTCTGTTTCAACTATCCAATAAAGGGGTCAAAATTTTAGCAATTTTTTGCCAATTTTCACAAATTTCAAAAGTGAATTTTTCCGAAGGGGGCCCAAAATAAACAAAAAAACATTCTTGGCACTAAAATAAAAGTTCTGTTTGTTAGTCAATCCCCAGGCCCTTTATTTCTTTGGCTTTCCCTTGAATTTTTATTCTTACAAAAAAATGAAGTTTTATGTTATGCAGATAGATTAGTGAAAAAGGGGGTATAAAAAACATCAGCGTATTTGTGAAAGAATTTAGACTCGTCAGTTGCTTTTGGGGGCATGTTTGTTTTTTTGAACTTTGGAAAAAATCAAATTTTTCTGCACTTTGAGCTCATTTAAAGGTTTATTTTCATTGTAAACAGTCAAAATCTCTCAATTTCTGTAACATGTTTTTCCTTCTATAAAATGAGACAGGGAAAACTAGATGCAATAATAAATCCTACGAAAATAAAGTGCAAAATCCCTTTTTTTAATCCAAAAAACCGTCAGTTTTTTTTTTTTTTATGTACTGTGTGCGCAGGATTTTTTTTTTTACTGCCGCACTGACCTCTAGACCCCTTCTTTCATATGTAGGGCCCCCAGCTTTCACTAATTTGAGGATGTTAGAAAATTTGGGTATAGTCGTCAAAAACCCTGGGTCATAAGCTGTACTAGTACGGCCGAAACCCTGAAAGGGTTAAACTGTCCACATGTAGATATACATTCACGTGCGGTGGGCTCAGAACATAGATCAGCATTTTATTTTTCATTCCTTCAAATTTGGTGCATAGGCCTGAATCGCCTAGACATGAAAGAATGGGGCTGTACACTCAGTGTGCTCACTATGAAAAAATTTGGGAGCACTTAGTACCTTGTGAGAGCACCAGTTCAACTGAGCACCAGCTAGAGCAAATAGTGTGGCAAACATCAATGATTCATTGATGTCATGTCATATTAACACCCACATTTTAAGAGGAAAGTAAAAATAGGTTAGATAAATGCATGAGTGGGTTTAGGTGGATGTGAGTTGGACCTGACTAGCTTGTGCTACTGGGTCAGATGTCGTGCTCCTTCTTTCAGTGGATGTGAGCTGACTAGGTGGGTCATTGGTCTAAGCTGGGGGGTGACATGGACCTGCTTTGCATGGGCCAGTAGGCCTGCCGCAGTGTTCTTCTTATGTATTCGGCTGGCTAGCTTTGGCTGTCTCTGTATTTGTCTATATCTCTGTCTGTCTATATCACTGTCTATTTGTATCTGTCCATATCTCTCACATGTACTCATAAATACAAATATACATAATGTAAATTACCTAGGATAACCCAACAATTCCTGGTCATGTGCTATACAGTGTTTATAGATTTTTTTTTCAACAAGTTGGCTGTCTTCCACCGAGGTAGGGTGACCCAAAAAGAAAGAAAATCCCCAAAAAGAAAATACTTTCATCATCATTCAACACTTTCACCTCACTCACACATAATCACTGTTTTTGCAGAGGTGCTCAAAATACAACAGTTTAGAAGTATATATGTATAAAGATACATAACATATCCTTCCAAACTGCCAGTATCCTAAACCCCTCCTTTAAAGTGCAGGCATTGTACTTCCCATTTCCAAAACTCAAGTCCGGCTATATAAAATAACCGGTTTCCCTGAATCCCTTCACTATATATTACCCTGCTCACACTCCAACAGCTCGTCAGCTCACAAATACCATTCGTCTCCATTCACTCCTAACACGCTCACACTCGCTTGCTGTAAGTCCAAGCCCCTCGCCCACAAAACCTTCTTTACCCCCTCCCTCCAATTCTTTCGAGGACGACCCCTACCCTGCGTTCCCCTACAGATTTATATGCTCTCCATGTCATTCTACTTTGATCCTTTCTTTCTAAATGACCAAACCACCTCAACAACCCCTATTCTGCCCTCTGACTAATACTTTTATTAAATTCACACCTCCTAATTTCCACACTCCGAATTTTCTGCATAATATTTGCACCACACACTGCCCTTAAACAGGACATCTCCACTGCCTCCAACCTCCTCCTCGCTGCAGCAAATAATAGCAGTGTCACTTGCTCAGCAAACAGGGAGCGGCCCATACACCACAAACCAACAGGTGTACTAGCTGCTCCCTGAGACAGACATGCAGATGGAAAGACAGACACACACAGGCAGACAGAAAGACAGATAAGCAGAACTAGACAGACAGATAAGCAGAGCTAGGCAGACAGATGTACAGATAGACACAGACTGACACAGACATACAGAGTTTGTGTGCATTATAAAGGCAAGGTTCCCCCTCCAGCAGTGCACATTCATCAAATGTCACTTGTTATCTGACACTTGTCATAACACCATTATTCAAGGAGTTCATATTATAATCCAGGCACACACAGAAGACACAGATAAGCTGAACTGGATGGACAGATAAGCAGAGCTAGGCAGACAGATACAGACAGATAGATGTACAGATAGACAGGCAGACAGATAGATGTACAGATACAGGCAGACAGATAGGTGTACAGATAGGCAGACAGATAGATGTACAGATAGGCAGGCAGACATACAAAGACATGTTTGTGTGCAAGAGTAAAAACATCGTCAAGGTTCCCTCCAGCAGGGCACATTCATCAGATGTCGCTTATCTGACCCTTGTCATAACACAATTCTTCAAGGAGGTTCATACTCCAGCATGTCTAAAACATTGCTGGGACCTATAAATACTTTGTATATATTTCTAGACAACAGTAAATGACCAGGGCAGGTGAAAATGTTTGCCTGTCAGTGTGATTGTTACAATTTGAGTACTATTTCACAAGAACTATTATAAATTGTAATTATCGGAACATAATTTTTTTTTTTTTTTTCAACAAGTCGGCCGTCTCCCACCGAGGCAGGGTGACCCAAGAAAGAAAGAAAATCCCCAAAAAGAAAATACTTTCATCATCATTCAACACTTTCACCACACTCACACATTATCACTGTTTTTGCAGAGGTGCTCAGAATACAACAGTTTAGAAGCATATACGTATAAAGATACACAACATTCCCTCCAAACTGCCAATATCCCAAACCCCTCCTTTAAAGTGCAGGCATTGTACTTCCCATTTCCAGGACTCAAGTCCGACTATATGAAAATAACCGTTTCCCTGAATCCCTTCACTAAATATCACCCTGCTCACACTCCAACAGATCGTCAGTCCCAAGTATCATTCGTCTCCATTCACTCCTATCTAACACGCTCATGCACGCTTGCTGGAAGTCCAAAGCCCCTCGCCCACAAAACCTCCTTTACCCCCCTCTTTCCAAACCCTTTCGAGGACGACCCCTACCCCTCCTTCCTTCCCCTATAGATTTATATGCTTTCCATGTCATTCTACTTCGATCCATTCTCTCTAAATGACCAAACCACCTCAACAACCTCCTCTCTGCCCTCTGACTAATGCTTTTATTAACTCCACACCTTCTCCTAATTTCCACACTCAGAATTTTCTGCATAATATTAACACCACACATTGCCCTTAAACAGGACATCTCCACTGCCTCCATCTGTCTCCTCGCTGCTGCATTTACCACCCAAGCTTCACACCCATATAAGAGTGTTGGTACTACTGTATTTTCATACATTCCCTTCTTTGCCTCCATAGATAACGTTTTTTGACTCCACATATACCTCAACGCACCACTCACCTTTTTTTCCCTCATCAATTCTATGATTAACCTCATCCTTCATAAATCCATCCGCCGACACGTCAACTCCCAAGTATCTGAAAACATTCACTTCTTCCATACTCCTCCCCAATTTGATATCCAATTTTTCTTTATCTAAATCATTTGATACCCTCATCACCTTACTCTTTTCTATGTTCACTTTCAACTTTCTACCTTTACACACATTCTCAAACTCATCCACTAACCTTTGCAGTTTTTCTTTAGAATCTCCCATAAGCACAGTATCATCAGCAAAAAGTAACTGTGTCAATTCCCATTTTGAATTTGATTCTCCATAATTTAATCCCCCCTCTCCTGAACACCCTAGCATTTACTTCTTTTACAACCCCATCTATAAATATATTAAACAACCATGGTGACATTACACACTCCCTGTCTAAGACCTACTTTTACCGGAAGTAGTCTCCCTCTCTTCCACACACCCTAACCTGAGCCTCACTATCCTCATAAAAACTCTTTACAGCATTTAGTAACTTACCACCTATTCCATATACTTGCAACATCTGCCACATTGCTCCTCTATCCACTCTATCATATGCCTTTTCTAAATCCATAAATGCAATAAAAACTTCCCTACCTTTACTAAATACTGTTCACATATATGCTTCAATGTAAACACTTGATCTACACATCCCCTACCCACTCTGAAGCCTCCCTGCTCATCCGCAATCCTACATTCTGTCTTAGCTCTAATTCTTTCAATTATAACCCTAGCGTGTACTTTTCCTGGTATACTCAGTAAAAACTAATCTCTATAATTTTTACAATCTCTTTTGTCCCCTTTCCCTTTATATAAAGGGACTATACATGCTCTCTGCCAATCCCTAGGTATCTTCCCCTCTTTCATACATTTATTAAACAAAAGTACCAACCACTCCAACACTATATCCCCCCCTGCTTTTAACATTTCT